GGATCAGTCGACGAGGTGGCAAAAAAAGACTTTTGAAATTTGTAAGTTTTAGTTTTTTAAAATCTGCAGAGTTTATCTTGTTTATGTGATAAAATGTAGAAAAGGTTTTGTTTTTAACCTGTATAGTTAAAATTGTGATAAAAAATTGATATTGAAAATGTTAAAAAAACCTAAGTGTAGTCTGATTTCTACTGTATGTGCAGTGTCCATGCTGAAATGAGGTATGGTTTACAAAGAATTTATGTGAGTTTTTTGGTTTTTATTTGTGTCCTGTTAAACATTTTTATATATATTTAGTTAGCTGAAGAGGGGCTGATGCCCGAAACGTTGATGTATGGAAAAAACGTTCTAACTAAATAAAAGATTCAACTAGCCCAGTGTTGAGAAAAACGTCACTTCATTGTGCCTGTACACAATAATCAAATTTTCTGTAACAGCTAAATTTACTTAAAAATTAAATTATGAATTATGTTATTGATATTTATTGAATTGTTATTACTGTTATAAATTGTTTTTAAAGTTTAATTATAATTCAGTGTTTATTTTATTTATCCTAATTTTTTATAATTTATATTCAATGTTCTAATTCATTATTTTTATGGTGTATATTATGTGAATCAGTTTATTATTAATATTTGCAATGTTACTAATTTGATAGAAATGTTCTTATTTTTAATATGTAAATTATTTTTTCCTCATTGGGCTACAATTTGATAAAATTGTAGACCTATAAATTCCCACTGTTGTCCATCTGTGTCTTTCCTTAATCGCAAGAAAGAACAGATGAAAGACAAGACCAGATATGGAAATCTTAGATGCAGGAGGCCCCAATTAACTATATATGAACTTCTGATGCGAATTGGAAGTCATGTTATTTTAATTCAAAAATTTTCCCCTGAAAGGAGTTAGATAGATGACTGGCATGACTCTAATGTTAAAGGAAAAGTATGATGTACAGGGGCAAGACACTACAGTAATCATTTGAGATGGAGAGCATATATATTTTAAATTAAATAAATTAAAAATGTGATTAAAAATTGTAACCTGGCATTGTGACAATGTCACAATAAATAATTGCTCATTTAATTGCTTAATATATTGTAATAATATATTTTTATTATAATATATTAAGAATGCATTTACAGTATATTAGAATATACAATAAGAATATCAGTATTCTTCTTCTTTTTTTTTTTGAATATAATTTTTATATTCTCTAAGTTTGCAAATCCTCTTGATGGGAAAAGTAGATTTTTATTTTCTTTAATTTACAATCGATATGCATTCAGGCTCTATGCCGCTCTTCAGTCCTTATTTTATTATGTATATCAGTAAAAAATATTTATATCACTAAATAATATAATCTTAATAGCCTAATAAATAATAATAATAAATAAAATAATATAATATAAATATCACTAAAAATATATTTATAATGACTACTGGAATAACTAATTATTAAAAACATGGGGTAGAACAAGTAAAACTGTAAAAATAAAAATATTTTGGTTAAAATGTAGAAACAATTTAACTAAAATCTTCTCACTTGAGTACTGGAAATATATAAATTAAAACTCCAAAACCTTTAAACGTCCAGTAGTAATCAATTTAATAACAAACAAACGTTTTTGACCGTACTCTCGGTCTTCATCAGGCTTAAAATCTGTTAGATTCGAAACAATTTAAATATATAAAATTACTTGTCCTGTCTGTCTGACTGACTGTGTGAGTGATTGACTGATTGATTCATCATTGACCAGAGCAAACCGCTGAACCTAAAGAGGTGAAATTTGGTACACAGGAAACATCATGAAAGTGCACACTAAGAAGGGATTTTTCGAAATTCCCTCACGAGGGGGGAGAGGAAAAGGATTGAGGCTTAATCTGAAGAATGGCTTCTACTGTACTATTTTAGATGCACTTTTTTGTTTTCAACTATGTTTAGTTTTCGTTGAGTACTTAGGTGTAGTAAATTGATAACATTTCAGACATTGTTATAAAAATTTTTATATTTTTTGATTTTTTAACCAAATGTTTGAACTATTTTAAATTCCAATTTGTTATTGCATATTGGTTTGATTATAGAACGATTGTGAACCAGCTTGCAATGGTTTTGATTGAATGCCTGAAGAAGAGCCCAGAAGGGGAGTCAAAAACGTTTGCATTTTAAAAACGAATGTTGCTCTGGTTAATTGGTTAAAAGTAAGAAGATTTATTTTCAACCTGGTGTGTTAGAAAGTTATATAGAACAATTGTAAACATTCCAGAAAATTGATCAAATTGAAAATAGTTCGTTTGATTCTCAGCAATTCTCATCATTCTCAGCGGTAGGTGTTATATAACAATTACTATGGTTGTTGAAATACTGCATATAAATAGGGTTTGCTTGCAAAATTTGCACGTGCGAAGTTGTGGGTAACAGTTAGTTGACTAATAAAGGTAGTAAAATTGTAATAACTTTAAAACCAATAGAAACCAAAGATTTTTAACCAGGTATTTTTATTTTTACTGATATACTTAATAAAATAAGGACAGAAGAGGGGAATAATGCCCAAAATACATATCTGTTGTAAAGTATAGAAAATAAAAATATTTTTCCATCAAGAGGAGTGTTCCTGTATGATTTGGTCTCAATAGCAATTTTATGCTAAGTTCCAAAGTATATACAACTAATTGAGAGAACAGCAAGCGATCAAGTACTAAAAACAATTTGAAAAATTTATTTAAAGTATCAATAAAATGAATAGCAAGCAAAATATACATAATTGTTTTAAATATGACTTAAAATAAAAATCAGTAAGATTATTTTAAAAATTGATAGTTTAAAATTTATATTTTGATATTTGTTAAAAAATTAATTTTTAAATATACTTAGGTATATCAGATAAAAATTTCCATGCAACAATTTTTTTTTTAAATTACTGTTACTTAAAAATTAAAAACAATAAAGTTTCATGTTTCTTATTTTATTATTCCATTAATCTGTTCTATATATTATTTAACACACTAAAAGAGAGGGAAAAAATTTAAAAAAGTTTTATAAATATTCAATATTACAAAAAATTTATGAAACATATTTCTTTTTTCTGTTTCTTCAGAATTAAATATTAATATAGATATTATCTTTGCTTGTACTACAAAAATTAAAAATATACAGTACATACATATGTATATAATGTATGTATGTTTATATTTATTTGTTTATTTAATTTATAATAAAGTACTTATGTTTTATGTAAATAAGTAGTTTACAGTAAGGATTGTCAATAAATTACCATTTGTCAATATATGAATTTTGTTAAATAATGTTTAATTTTAAGGCTATCTTAATGAACAGGTTTTATTTAAATAGTTAAATTTATTACTTTATTTAGTATTAAAATTTGCATGTTAATTCTTTTACTGTTCTGTCTATGAAATATGTATGCATTAATAATCTTTTATTTTTCAAAATTAATTTTATAACGGCATATTTCTGATGAATATTGTATATTATATTCTTATTTATTAAAAATTTTATTTGTTATGCTACATATGCACTTGACATCATTTTGCATGGCAGCTTTACAGAAAATTAATATATTCATAAAAAAATTTTAAATGAAGATTGGAATGATTTTGTTCATGCTTTAAATGTATTTTGAAAAAATACATACATGTAATAGCATGGCTTTGATTGGTAACAAAGTTTTAATCCTACTCTACAAATCTGCTTTTTTGCACAAACTTGATAATATGCACATTTGACAACATTTTCATACTACAGTTAAATATATTTCACAATAACTCTATTAAATATAAATATTTCAGTTTCTATATAAAAGGCATGAATGAACATTTCATTACATTATACTATTTTTCAATTTTGTTTTAATAATTTGTACTATTGCTTGAATGGTTTTAAAACCTTCCCAAATTAAAATATTTATCTTAATAATTATTACTAAATAATTGTTATCATACAAATAATAATAATAAGTTAATTAACATATTTCATAAATCTTTAAATTAAAAAAACAAAAATGTTTTTTTTTTAAAATTAACTAACTAATATGACATTTATTCACTTAATATTTGACATCTAAATTAAATTCTAAGTTAAATTTTAATCTAATTAAGAATAAGTAATGTAGGAAAATTTTAATGTCAAGAAATAATAGCAATAAAATGTATATAAATAATGTAATAAAAAATGGGTGGCTAAAAAAGAAAATATTTAGCCTGATAGTTTAATATTCATGCTCCTGGTGCAGGTGACGATTTTGAAGATTCTGCTCTGTTTGGAAAACCAACTCATGCCACCCATGTGTATCTTCCTTATTATGAGGGTCAAAAGATGCAGATGAGTAAGTTCTTGAAAATGCCCCTCTATTTAGACCATATTCTATGCATGTTTCCATTTAACCTTTTGTTATAATATTTCAAATCTTCATAACAGAATTTTATAATAAATTCATTCGTTGATTGAAAATGGTTCTTTTAAAATTATTAGTGCAATAGATTATGTATATGGCAGTTTAGGATGATATAAATTTGATGCCATAAGTAGATGTTTTTCTATGAAAACAGTGTGTGGATTAATATTGGCTTACTAAATTTATTTATTATTATTATTATTATTATTATTTNTCTATATAAAAGGCATGAATGAACATTTCATTACATTATACTATTTTTCAATTTTGTTTTAATAATTTGTACTATTGCTTGAATGGTTTTAAAACCTTCCCAAATTAAAATATTTATCTTAATAATTATTACTAAATAATTGTTATCATACAAATAATAATAATAAGTTAATTAACATATTTCATAAATCTTTAAATTAAAAAAACAAAAATGTTTTTTTTTTAAAATTAACTAACTAATATGACATTTATTCACTTAATATTTGACATCTAAATTAAATTCTAAGTTAAATTTTAATCTAATTAAGAATAAGTAATGTAGGAAAATTTTAATGTCAAGAAATAATAGCAATAAAATGTATATAAATAATGTAATAAAAAATGGGTGGCTAAAAAAGAAAATATTTAGCCTGATAGTTTAATATTCATGCTCCTGGTGCAGGTGACGATTTTGAAGATTCTGCTCTGTTTGGAAAACCAACTCATGCCACCCATGTGTATCTTCCTTATTATGAGGGTCAAAAGATGCAGATGAGTAAGTTCTTGAAAATGCCCCTCTATTTAGACCATATTCTATGCATGTTTCCATTTAACCTTTTGTTATAATATTTCAAATCTTCATAACAGAATTTTATAATAAATTCATTCATATTCATTAATAAAATATACTAATTTTTTAGATATCTTTTAATTCTTTATTTAAAAAATTAAACTTTATAAAATCTATTTTAAATAATTTTCTTTCATAACCGAATATTAGATACAGTATACCAGATTGCTATCTGTTTTTGTTTTATTTCTTAAATATTTCTATTTATATTTTAATTTTATTCTTTCAAATATCAAATTCTTTGCTTTTTGAAAAATTAATTTTAAAAATAATGAAAAATATTGTAAATGTTTAAAAATGTTTAGTTTAAAGTAAGGATTAATTATAGTTACATATTAATAGTTAATTAATTTTTGTATTTTATTAAATAATACTAGATCAAATCATACATTTATTTATTCTTAAATTAATTATTATAAAGTAGAAAAATATATTAGTATTTAATATTATAAAACAGATGTTAACTTCTTTTTTTCTTCTTTATTTAGGTATTTCCTTCCAATTATCTCTTCCATTTATTCTTAGCCTAGATTGATTTACATTTAATCTTTTTTTTTTCATAGATTTGTTATGCCTTTAAATCATTTGACTTTTTTGTTTTGTGGGTGTTTGGGAATAATTCTTCATTTAATTCTTTTTGCGAATGGATTATATGAACTTCTCAAATATATACTTCATGCTTGTATCCAGTTTCTTGTCTATGGAGTTGTTATTTGCCACTGTAAATTATCTTCTTTGAATGTTAACTGACTGAGATTACATTTTATTTTTATTTTTTTAGGACTGAAAAATCATTCATAATGCTTTTTATTCTATGGAAAAAATAAACAGCTCTTAATGCAATGTAAAATGAATGCATTTTTATTTTTAGAAAATAAAACATTATAAACAAGTTTTCAAAACTACAAAGAAAAATATTATTACCTCAGTGAGCTTACATTGAAAGAAAATAATTTCCAATTGCAAAAGTTATTTCTTTAGACAAGAAATTAAGTAGAAGACTGAAGAATTTGTNAAATAGAAATTACAAAAGTGCATTTATATACTGAAGATAAACAGGGAATGCCAATGTTTATAACAAAATGCATTTGTAGATTAAGGGATTCCTCTAAACTTAGTTGTGTATCGTTAGTATTATGAAAAAAGTTTAGTTCTTTATACGTAAGAATCAAAACAATTCAGCAGCAGATTGAGACAAAATCTAAATGATAAATTTCATTTAAAAAATTAAATCAATGCCATTAAAATAATTGATATAATAGAGATCGGTTTACTTTTAAAAGAATTTAAAATAATTTAGTTTGATTAGAGTAAAAAATTAATAAATCCCGTAGAAACTAATATAAATCAATTTCAAAAAAAAAAATTTCTAATAACAATCCAAAAAGTTGGAAAGGTATAATCTGCAAAATGTAACAGCATTAATGCCAATTTTCAAAACTTTAGATTCATGGAATTTTAACATATAAAGTAAAATACAGGCCAACATATACAGACAAATGCATACATACATATATACAGAATTTTGTTTAAATATTTTGATTTTCAAATCAGGGGATCTTAAAACATAGAGAAATGAAAATACAGTATAGTAATTTTAACAGCCGGGAAAGATATAATAGTTTCAAAAGAGATAGAAACAACTCAGTTTCAAACAAATAAAAATGAATTAAGTTTCATAAAAATCAAAATTAAGAGAAAAATCTAAATATAAAGTTTATGTTATAATATTTAATTAGGTGATGATGCTAATCTTGGTGATCAGACCTTCCATTATTTGACTGTTGATGAAATTCAGTCATTGGGAGATGATTCACTCCCAATTGATGTCACAAGAGATGAAAAAGGAATTGATTCAATGATTATAGGGAAAGATTCTAAAGGTAATTATTAAATGTTCATTGCAGTTTAATTTTTATGATATTGTGCATTATTTGTTCAAATATTTTCAACAAAGTAGCATTATGTAGCAAAAGTTAAAAAATATTAAGCATAAAATTTAGTTATATAATTAACTAATAAATATTAAATTCTCAAGAACTGCTATATATTATCTAAAAACACATCAATACACCAAGCCAGTTAAACAAACAACAAAAATATTTAATACAGTGGTACCTCAGGATACGAAATTAATTCATTTTGAAACTGAAATCGTATCATGAAAATGTCGTAAGGTGAATCATTTTTCCCCATACGATTTCATGTAAAACCAAATAATTTGTTTCAACACGAAAAACACACTCAAATTAAAGCTAAGTAGTACATTAAAAAAATAACTATAGTAAGGAAAACACTGAAAAATGCATTTTGTAGTTTTTTTTTTCTAAATTTTTTATTCACTGCTTTTTGCTGTCTTTCCTTCACTTCCACCAGCACTTTCACTGGATAGAGGTTGCTTGGTAAAATATTTATCCAAAGAGGTTTGGCTTTGCCTACTTTTTAAAATGTTTCTAAAATGACTTAGGCAAATGTCATTAAGATAAATGACTTCCAACAACTTAACACTGCGTTGAATAATAACAATCCACGAAAAACCTTTTTACGAGTGTTGTGTTACTAGTAAATTCCACAAGTACTTTCGACCCCACCAAGGTCTGCTTCAGGTGGTGACTGGCCGTGTTTCGACCCGACCGTCGTAATGATGTTGCCAACGATGTAAATAAATAAATGTGTGCGTCAGGTTTCATCCCTCCGAGTGACACTGTTCAAATTCCTCGAACAAATACTTCCACGCCTGTGCAAGCGTTTCCCCATCCTTGTAGTTGATGCAGTTGCCCTCCCTGATAGCTTTATGAATCTCCCAGGCCTCCAGGTGATGGATGTGATCTGCGCGGAATGCTTATCTGATAAGTCTGGTGTTCCGGAAGTCCGCCCTTATTTCAGGGTCGGTGATGTAGGTTGATAAGGCGGTGGTGTGTCTTTTATGTTTAATATCAGCTTGGTGTTCACGTATTCATTTCTGTGTTGACCGGATGGTGGAGCCAATATAAACTAAGTCCCTATTGAATCTGTCGTCCTGGATGGGGATGGAGTAAACACCTGGGGCCCTGGTGAGATTCATTGCGTCTTTGGCATTGCGCAGCAGGTTGTAAAGCGTGCCGGTTCTTAAGTACACGATTTTGGTGCGGCCGTTGCTAGCGATCTCCCTATATAGGGGGTCTAAATGCTGGTTGAACCGGACAACCGCGCGTCTAGCGTTCCTATCTGGTTGTCAGTTGTCGTCCTGCAATGGTAGGGGGCAGTCCCTGAGGGGGGCGGCGGGCGCATGCACGTGCTAAACCACGGACCATGGTTTTACTGTAACCATGTTCAACGACAATTTTTTCTATGTGACGGATCTCCAACCTCTGATCTCTGACACAACACTCGTAAAAAGGTTTTTCGTGGATTGCAAATGTCATTACTCCAGCAATACAGCCAGTGTGAACTTTTTTGGGATGTTTCTTTCCAATAAAATCAGTCACTTTCTGATAATACCTTGAGATTTCCTTTATCGAGCGAAATCCTTCGACGACGAAGCAAACACATGGACTGAGACCAATAAACAGAAGTGAATAAAAAATGGCACTGCAAACTAATGTAACGTCGTATGATGAGGTTTTGTTCGTACCGTGAAGCAAAATTATGTTCGAACTTCATGACATATCCTGAAAATTTTGTATGCTGGGGCGTTCGTATCCCGAGGTACCACTGTAAAACAAATGTTTTCTTTTGTATCAATTGGACATCTTCAGGTTACATAAGCCTATTAAAGAGCAGAATACCAAATCAAATATAGAACTCAAATTGAATTTTTAAACAGTTGAGCTTCAGGCATGCACCCTAAGCAGAAAATGTACATCATAAAGAAAAAACATCATATAAGTAATAAAATAAGAATATTTTGATTAATTTGAAGATGTCTGATTGATATGGACAAAAGCATTCATTATATTAAATATTTTTGTTCTTTGTTTAACTGCTTTGGTGTACTGGTGTAATTTTAACTAATAAAGTTAATTATATAGTTAATAAATACACACTGTCTTTCAGCATTAATTTGGTTTAATCCAAATGTACACAAGTACTTTCAACATTTTATAAATGTTGTCTTCAGGTGAAATATCTTCCTACAACTTTATTCACCAAGAATAAAAATAATAATTTAGTATTTGCACATCCTTCCATATCATATTTAAGGATCAGTCATAGTATGAAATATTCTCAGTTTCAAAAAAATATGAGCTAATACTTCCCATCAAATTGAACTGCAGTTGTCTCTGCATAGAATTATCTATAATGATAGAGATAAGTTTTCTGATCTAGAAAATCAGATGTCTATATGATCTCCGTGCAAGATTTGAGCTCTGGTTTAAAAATTTTTTATATAGGGGCCAGCTACAACCAGAAAGTTGCTGAATTGTTTTGAACACCAAGACGATATCTTAATTAATCGCATTAATCAATGGATACTTGTACTGCATATAAATGTTGCAATTCAGATTACATAACTGAAATGCAATTGTTGTATTTTGCTTTTAAGAGAGTTTTTACTGTTTCTGATTTTATAAGTTTTGATATTCTATTATATGTTTAGTGTTTATTTTTTAAATTTTCATATATTGTATTTATAATTTTTATTGAAAAATATAAATTATATGAATTTTTAATAAGCAATTTATTATGAAATATAATATAATAAAATCACAGTTGATATTTTATAAATCTGAAGACTTAAAGGTAATGCTAGCAATTATTAAGGATGAAAACAAGTAAAGAATATTAGGAAAGACCGGTAACAACATTACCAGCTTTTTTTAAGTCTATAAAATGGTAACAAAATTATTACTTATATTTATAAAACTTGTAAAAGGAACTGGTGTTTAAGTAGAATATGTTAATTAAATTAATAAAATTATATTAAATTATACAGAAATTATGTATTTCTGTGATCGTGTCTTCCTTTTTTTGTTTGTTTCTTCACTACTAGGTGCATAAATAGACACAAGGCATTTTACATCATCTTTATTGATCTTCTATTGGCCGATATGTGTTTCGGGCAAGGCCCCTCATCTGTCGCCCGAAACATGTATCGGCCAATAGAAGATCAATAAAGATGATGTAAAATGCCTTGTGTCTATTTATGCACCTAGTAGTGAAGAAACAAACAAAATTATATATGTTTTATAAATAAAACAAAATAAATTCCAAAAATTTTTATATTAATTTTAAAATAAAAATGTTAAAAAATGGCTTTGTTCATATTTAAACATAAATATTATAATTGGTGTTTTTAAAGAAAGGGCACAAGTTGCATGTTTTCTGTGCATCACATTAGAAACAAAAAACCCAGTAATGATTATATAACTTTCCTGGCAAAAAAATACTTGTTTAAGAAACACAAAGACACATCAGCATAAAATTAAAATTGTGTGCTGCCATCTTTTATATGTTACTAAAAACTTTTATACTATTACTTGTTATAAAGGGACAAAATAATCTTAATTTTGAAGATAGAAATGAGTTTGTAAAACTTTGTAAATGCCTTATTGGGTAAAATTTTCATTAAGTCCAATCACATTCAAGACTTGACATACAATCCTCTGTTTTCATACCCCTCAATTTTTAACCAAAATTTAATAGCATCAGTGCCCCTTGAATTCAAATTATCATACCAAAATTCATTTCTCAATGTTTATCCCATACTGAAATATTAAACAAAATAAATTTGAACATATGAACAACACAGACACTTCAGTAATTCATTTTTTTTAGGTTTGTGGAAGCTTGACATCTCAAAATGTCAAGATTCCAAAAGCTCAGAAGGTCGAATGTAACACAGTTGCAATATTATGTTGTAACAGCAAGGAAAGTAAAAATTTAAGACAATAACAATATTTTTCTATGTTATTTTATAACAGCTGGAAAAGTAAAACTTAAATTATTCTGAGCTTTATGCAGTTTATCTAATATATTAGTCAGTTAACTGGTTATATTGATATGAAAATTTTAAAGAATTGCAAAATAGTTTTGTGTTTGTTGTTTTGAATAAATATACATTTTTTTCATTGTTATGAACATTTCATGTTTAGAGATATTCTGAAAATGGAATTAGAGAAGGTTTATTTGAAAATAACAAAATTATTATTTTGTGTTCATCAATACCTTGAGATTTCCTTTATCGAGCGAAATCCTTCGACGACGAAGCAAACACATGGACTGAGACCAATAAACAGAAGTGAATAAAAAATGGCANTATGAACAACACAGACACTTCAGTAATTCATTTTTTTTAGGTTTGTGGAAGCTTGACATCTCAAAATGTCAAGATTCCAAAAGCTCAGAAGGTCGAATGTAACACAGTTGCAATATTATGTTGTAACAGCAAGGAAAGTAAAAATTTAAGACAATAACAATATTTTTCTATGTTATTTTATAACAGCTGGAAAAGTAAAACTTAAATTATTCTGAGCTTTATGCAGTTTATCTAATATATTAGTCAGTTAACTGGTTATATTGATATGAAAATTTTAAAGAATTGCAAAATAGTTTTGTGTTTGTTGTTTTGAATAAATATACATTTTTTTCATTGTTATGAACATTTCATGTTTAGAGATATTCTGAAAATGGAATCAGAGAAGGTTTATTTGAAAATAACAAAATTATTATTTTGTGTTCATCTCTGAAGATTTTTCTTATGCAGTAAATATATTAATTCAAATTAGCATATGATATATTAATTTGTTTAATGCCAAAAAGCTTTGGAAAGAAATAATTTATGATTTTTATTGCTTAAAAAATTCTCACTGTAAATAAATCTACTTTTTTCAATGGTAATAAAAAAAATGAATTTAAGAAAAGTAACATTCATAGGATATTTTATGCAATATTTTCATACATTTATTTATTTTTATTTCAGCTCCACTAATAGTTGAAGAAGATCAAATTTCTCCTGCACATGTAGCACATTTAGAAACTGTATTTGCAGGTTCATATGTTCCAGATAATGTTGATATTGCTAAGGCACCAGTCCATGCTGGGTATGTATAAAATACTGTATATAATTTCAAATTTATTTTTATTGTCTTAGTTTAAATTTGTTAGATGTTATTTGTAAATTGTAAATGTTTCAGCTTTTTTTTATTATGTTTTTGGTGTACTTTGCTTGATGTTTTTACTGTTATGTTTTTAATTTGAAATATTTTTATTGAATTATAGGAAATAAAATTTTGATTTATTTTCATAAAGTAAATTATGAAAATGAATTTATCATTTAAGTTTTTTTCATTTTAATTAAATATTCTTGTGTGATTTAGTTTATTTTGTTATATGTATTTATAGTGCATTAGTTTCCAAATTTAGTGATAAAATTGTACACCCTCAGCTATAAACAGAAATATAAATTAGAATGATAATTTTTTTAAGTAATCTGAAAATAAATATCAATTGTTAATTTTAATAGTATAAAAAATTGATTTTTATATTTTATAAAGTATGTAAACACATCTGATAAGATGTATGCTGCCTTTACTTAATAGTCTCTTAAAGTTATTAATTATACAGATTTGATGATACAATAAGTTTTTTTTTTCCTCTTTTTCTTCTTTACTATCATAACAATTTTGGATCCATTCCAGTCAGTTCTTGTGTTTTTTGAGACATTTCTTTTCTGTTGCTAAGTTACACTGTAAAGTTGTTTTTATATGAATGACTTCATTTTAAGAACAACTTAAAACCTCAAAACAAACACTTCAAAATTTTTAGAATTTAGAAATATGTAAGGATGAAGCATTTTTTGAGACTTCTCCTCTTCAGATTCCCAAGTATAATCTGTTCTTCAGGTAGAAGTGAGTCCACTCTCCTGACACAAAGTTGAGATAATACATCAAATGCTTCTTCAAACTTCTTTCTCCTTTCTTGAATTCTCTATTGATTCAAACTATGTTTTCCTTTTTTTCCTTTTTCCATGTCACACAGTAGTTAAACTGTTATTGAAATCATTTCTATCTTTAGAAAAATTGTCAGATGGTTTGTTAAGAAATTAAATCTATTCTCATTTTAGAGTGAAGAAACCTTAAATATCCTAAAGATGGAAATGCTTTCAATAACAGTTTTTAACTATTGCATTGTTGAATTTATGTAATTAGTAACTTTTTTAAAAGTTAAAGACCATGTAAAGAAGCACATGTGTATATAAATTTAATTACTTAATAGATACTTTTCAAGAGTAGTTTTTAATTACAGTAATACCTCGACTTACGCTACCCCAACTTACACGAACCCGGAGTTACGCGATTTTCAAATCTCGTCGATTTGTCTTTTGTTTGAGTGCCACGCAACCCTTGATTACTCACTCCCCCCACACTATTGTTCAGTTTATATGTTCAGACGTGTCGCGTGAAATCGACACATAACTACAATTTATTTTGTGTTATTTATTTCTGTGTTTGTTATATCTACGGAGACTTGAGAGACTATGTGGTGATTTCTTGTAACCGTGAACGAATCAAAAGACGAGATAAGATTAACGAGAACATTTATTAGCTTACATACATCCGGCTTGGATTTTACACAAATTGAAAAATTATATCCCGACTTACGCGAATTCGACTTATGCGGTTATCGCTCAGTTCCACCTATCGCGTAAGTTCGGGGTATTACTGTATACATTTAATTTTAATTAGTTTTTTAAGTTTTTTAATATATTAAAAATATGTATGATTCCTTACAGTTTTTAAGGGCTGCACTTTTGATGTCTACCTACATAAACTAGATTTATAATTTTTATAGCTATTGACACACAAGTGGACTTAGAATATTTTAATAAAAGTAGTCAGCAAAAATAATTTTTAAAATAAAATAAAATATTATAATGTGAAATTAATACAAAATGAACATAAATAAATAAACTTAAAATTATGTGATACTTAATTCTTTTTACTTTTATATTCTTAATGTTTTACTTTTTTGTTTTTATATTGTCTACTTGGATCTTATATTTATAAACAATATCCAAGTAGACATTATGTAATACTTAATATTAAAATGCAAATTTTCTAGTATTATATATGATATAATTCAAAATGCAAATTTGAACAAAGTCTAGATGAAGAATTGAAATTTTCAATAGTAAAAAAATCATTATGAATGTATTTTTCATTATATTGTTTTTTTGGGTATCATATGTGAAAAATGAATATCATTACGTTATATAAAATTCCATTCTCCCCATGCAATATGTCTTTATAACATTTTGATGATAATTTCATTTTTTTTTTCATTTATTATATGGAAACTGAAGCAATACAAAATAATATTTAATATATAATATAAAATTGTAGATTTTTCAGCATTGAATAAGTAACAATCTTTTACAAATACTAATAGTTAACAATATGTTAAGTTACTACTGTAACATTACACTAGTTCATCTGAACTATTGTTCAATTAGCATGCAAGAAACACTAAGTCCTTTGCAGTGATTGCATTAAAAGTTTTCGCACATTTTGATTAAAATTTATTGCATTAAAAAGCACAAATTGCATTAATTTTCAATAAGTTGGAACCATTCAATTCCAACTTCTGTGTAATGAGTGATATTTTGTATTCTTGAAGATGCTCTTTTTAGCTTAGCTTGATACATAAATCTATAAATTTTTTGTTTACTTAGGCAATGTTAAAGCAATATTCAATTCTTTCTCATCATATAGTACCTAGATGAACTGCAGGTTCAAATTTAGCTCACATATAAAAGTTATTATAGATAGTATTGATGAGGATATTATTTCTTCGTTCCTTACCTCATCCTACTTGATCCATTGTGAATTAGGTAATTGTCTAAATTGCAGTTAGCCTTGAGGAATTACTATACTGATGCATTGTAATAACAAATCTAAGTCAAATCCTTTACATTAAATTTTAGTGTAGTTAAAGTTTTATATATTTAAAATTATTATTGCAATTTTTAACAAAAAAATATTTCCAATAATTTAACATAATGATATAATATTTTATATGTATGATATCCACGAAATGATCAGATATGTAACATAACCACATTTAATGGTCAAAAATGGTGTCAAAAATGTTTTGTGTTTAAATAAAAACTAATTTGATATTAAATATTAGCCTCTTGGGATATATACATATGTATAACTTAAGGAGGAGATATTAACCCTGTATTATTAAGATAAGGCTTTCCATAAATATATTTTGCTAATAATTTTTTAAGATTTTCAGTTCTTTCAAATTGAAAATTTTAAGAAAAAAATGCCATAGTTACAAAATTTTTTCTGGAAAATTAAAATTTAGCTAGCAAATAAAATTTTATTTTATATCTGTCATACAGAATTTAATTTTGAATAAATTAATTTGATAAAAACAGTACTTTATCACATTTACTATTTTATTTTACACTAATCTAAGATTTTATGTAGCATTTTTGAATCTTAATCATGTAGGGTTAATATTTTTATTAAACTTCTGTGAAAATCAAAATAATAAATTGCAATTTACTGTTTTCTGAAAAAATTTTTATTACTCAATTTTTTTAGCAGAATTTATATCTTGCAGGTTTTTAAATATAAAAGTCATAAAAAAAGTAATATTAAATAGCAATTTATTTTGAATAAATTGTTATTTTATATTAAATATTTGACTATTTTTATATTTTAAGATTTTTAAAGTTATAATGAAACTTTATAATGAAAGTTTAAAAAAAATGTTGCAACTATGTTACTTTTTACATATAATGGAATTCAAGACATTTTAAATATAAGGAATGTTATTTAATACGCATTTTGATAATTGTTTGAAAACAAATTAATAGCATGTTTTAGTTAATACTAAATATAATAATAAATATATTATGAAATAAAAATAATTGCTTTTAAATTTAAGAAATTATATTTATTACAAATGCATGATTTCTTAATCGGATACAAATTTTATAATAGCTTAAGTTCTACAATCACAAATAATTTAATCTAATGTTAAATCTGCATGATAAATAATAAACTATTTAACTGTCAAAACCATAGTTTTATGTACCTGATCCCAGTGATTACCTGTTTATCATTAACATGTATCTTTCTACTTTTGCTGCCTTGTTCCACCTATGGACCTTTGTAGGAAGTTAAAGTGGAAGACGTAAGTTTCTCTGTTGCTTGTAAATATCTTTATAAATTGTTGCTTGTGTTGTCTCTTAGTGCAACTGAATTATTTTTCTGTGTAAAATCTGCTTGAATCAGTTATGCTAATTTGTAGATTAGTTCTGTATTAATGTGTTTAGATTAGTAGACTATTTTATTGTTATATTTTGATAATATTATTCTATATTTGTATGATCTTATCAACTTAAATAAAACAATATAATATGTAGCAGAACTATATAAAATGTATTTTTTAATAAATAAAATGAAAAAATTAAAAATTGTTTCTAACAAAATTTTTCAGATAAAAATGTAGACAGCTACATAAATACAAATTATTTATGTTACCTTTTAGAAATATTTATCTTTATTTTTATTAAATTTTTAATAAAAATAAAACATTATAGTTATCATGATCTTAGTTGTGAGTATTGCAATCTAAATTTACAATTAATCCTGTTTTTTGGAGAAATAAATTTCAAAGTTGTTTGAGTATGCATTTTATACATAAAATGAATTTGTGTGTGTTTTTTTTTATGTATTTACATAAATGTATATATGTGTACAGGCAATTTCATTACTCTTCAATTCTTAAAAAATATTTAAGGCATACAGAGTAGTAAAAATGTAAGTGTTTATTAATTATACATTTATAAATGTATAATTAATAAACACTTACATTTTTAATATGATTGTTTTAAATTATTTTAGTTTAATGTAATAATATGAATGAGCTCCCAAAAAAATTTATTTGAGAATTTATGAGTATCATAAGTTCATATTTCACATCTGCATCAATGCATAGCTCACATCCTACATAATTGTCCCATCACTAATATTTATATTAAAAAACAACTCTCTCTCTCTCTCTCTCTGTCATATTAGCTGAACTTATTATTTGGAACATTGAATCAAAAATTTTTAACTCCCTACTTGGTATTTGATACCCTCTCCTTTACCTACAATATATAGACAATGTCTTAAAGTTGCAGTTAGTATCAGTTGCAGTACCTAAGGTTATACATCTGCAAAATTCAAATACCTTGTTAACCACATAAAAAGAACACTTTTTTCACTAAACACTGTGCACAAAATAAGGACCTTACCTAAATACAACTTACAATACCATCCTTGGGGTTACTGTCATTAGTTATTACAGGCATATTCAGCATATTTGGGTTTATCATCCCATTGGCCCCCTATCCTATATTGCATATGCTTTTATGTTATGATAGAGATGAAGTGAACTTTCTGGAAAAATTAGGGGATACATAATTATACAACACTATCTCTTGGAGCTACTGCTAGAATGCTTTAATGATTAAGTGATTAATTGGATGATTATACAATTTTGATTCATCATTCATTGGATAACTTGATAATTGTTTCATCCTTAATTGCAAACAACTTTGAATATGTAATTTGTGTATTCATGCTTTAAAGATGATATCAGTTCATTAACTGGCTTAAATAATTAAAATATTTCTTGAAAAGAATTTAAAATAATTTTCAAAATTTTTCATATTGTAGTATTATATATTATCAAGTAATAAATAGATAAGAGTGAATTATTTAAAAAATTTTATTCTTCATATATTTTAAGAACATAAATAATTTATAGGTAAATTATTTATTTGTTTAAATTAAAAAAATTGAACAATAATTTTAAAAAATAGAAATTGTTCTGCTTGCATATTAATAAATTCATCTATAAACCTATAACAGAATTTCATTATTATAATTCTAGAAATTTTTTTACCTTTGCAGTTTCCTAGTTAGTTTCATGGTTGATGCAAGAGGAGGGGCTATGAGAGGTTGCAGACATTCAGGTGTACGAGTGATTATCCCTCCAAGAAAAGCTCCTATGCCAATGCGTATTACTTGTCGTTACTTAAGAAGAGAAAAATTGGCACATCCTCCACCTCTGATGGAAGGTGAAGCATGTGCTTCTCGTATTTTGGAAGTTGGTCCAGCTAGTGCAAAATTTTTAGGGTAAGGATTTTAAAACTGTTCATTTTCAAAGTTTTTCAAATTTTTGCTTATATTTGTTTTATTTCTTTTTAATACTTGTTATAAAAATGAAGATTGAATAGCATAATTTCTTGGCATTGTAACTGTGCATATTATGTGATATCTCTTTGGAATGCACTTCTTCAAATAACATTCTATGAAAAGGAATTCATAATGCTTTCCAGAAATAGAATTTCTTCAAGCTTTCATATTACAATGGTAAATACTTGAGGAATGCTTCTCAATGAAGTCTGAAACATTAGTGTATGATTGAAATACTCTACTGGGAAGAGGAATAACTTTTTTTAATTAACAAACTGTATCATTAAAAGCATTAGAAAAATACCAAATTGGCATCTTTTTGTGTACTTTAGCATAATAAACTCAGTAGTGGTTAACCTATGAAAAATATGTCTACATGTTCTTGATTAATATAGTTGCATTTTTCCTCTTGTTCTTACAACTTGTTGTTAAAAACTTTTTTATTGCTTAGTTCTCAAGATTTTTGACTGTTCTATTTAAAATGGGACAAAAATAGGACACTATATACTGTACATACATACATACATACATACATACATATATGGGTATGTACAGTACATGTATAGTGTATATTATATATATATATATATATGTATATTTTACTGTTGCTTTCCAAGTTGTTATATATAACAGGGAAAGTATGGCAATCTGCCAAAAAATGATTCCCCAAAACTTTTACATTTTTGGATTTCAGACAACATGTATTTTTGTGTGGCAATATTATCGCAACTAATCAGCATGCAACACCCATAATTCCAAGTATACATGACATCATATTTTTACCAATCATCCTTAGTACTACATACAACATGGTGTGGAAATTTTGAAAAGGAGCAAAAAAATGGCAAATATGATATGGTCTGAAACTGCTGTTGAAAAACTGTTGGAGGATATCAGATACTATCCTGTTCTTTATGACAAAAAGAGCTAAATTATAAAAACAAGATTTTAAGAAACAGAATGATTTTAAATAGTGGCAGGCAGATATTAGTATTAGTTATAGTGTAATAGTTTTGACCTTCACTTATGTCATCTTCACCTAATAGATTTTGTCAGCTTATATCATGTTATCCATCAATCAGACAAAAATAATGAATACACATAGTAATAAACATGTTATACAGTTAAGATTATTTTAAATAAGAATCATAATTTTATAACTGCAGTAGAGCATCGATTATCTGAATCAATTGGGGACTGGGGTTGTTCGGAAAATCTATATTTCGGATAACCGATTATGTACGAAAAAATATATTAACCTATCCCATGTTGAAATTTTTCTCCATTGTGTGTCGCTTTGCGTTGAATTTTTGTCGATGTTAAGCCTAACGAAGACTATTGTATCGTTAAAAATTATTTTTTTATTTTGTACAAACAAAATAAATACAGTAGAGTGTCGTTTATCCGAATCAATTGGGAACTGGGGTTGTTCGGATAACTTATTTTTCGGATAACCAGTTATGTACGAAAAAATATATTAATTTATCCCGTGTTGAAATTTTTTTCCGTTGCGTGTCGCTTTGCGTTGAATTTTCGTCGATGTTAAGCCTAACAAAGACTGTTGTATCGTTAAAAATTAATTTTTTATTTTGTACAAACAAAATAAACATATTGAAAAATATAAAAACAATAAAAAATTATACTTCAGAAGTTAATTTAGTATCAAAAACGTAAAATATTTGAGTAGCCGAAGACATAGCCAAAGATTACAGCGCCACAGCACTGGCAAAAATTTAAATTTGTCGACTGGAATTCCTTCGGATAACCGACGTTTCGGATAAACGACGCTCTACTGTATATTGAAAAATATAAAAGCAATAAAAAATTATACTTCAAAAGTTAATTTAGTATCAAAAATGTAAAATATTTGAGTAGCCCAAGACATAGCCAAAGATTGTAGCGCCACAGCACTGGCAAAAATTTAAATTTGCCGACTGGAATTCTTTCGGATAATTGTCTTTTGGATAAATGATGCTCTACTGTATTTACAAGATGATAAACACATGCTGCCACAACCTTCCTTTGTTCTTCTATTAGATGAACTTTCAAATTTCTGATCATCAGACAACATTTCATGACTCTCCACTAATGCACTTTCTATATGTAGACTTATTTCATATATATATATATATATATATATATATCTATCATACGTTTACAATATCAATATTACTGTCCATACATGCACACCACGAAGCTGTTGATGATAAGTTCTTAAGAATGGAAACAGATTACAATACAGTACCTCCACTCGATGTATTCATTCCTTGGCTGACTCTTCTGTCTTGCTACCAGACGAACTATATCGGACCGCAAAACAAAACCAAGAAAGATCTTTCACCACACGAGACGGTCCAATTTATAATCCCCCCTCATTCATGAATACTCTCTTAACACGTGACCCCGTTCTTGACCAATTAGTCTACACTAGTTGGTGTAGCAAGAAAAGTGATACAACATAATATTCCGCAGACAATTATACAAAAAGTAGATCCCAACACATGGTAATGGAAGATAATTTATATACACAAATTATATTAATATCTAAGCATACATGAACAACAATACTAAAGTAGCGCAGCACTACACTAGTATTATTTTTAACATTACAGAGTCAAATATTTAATGAATGAATAACATTGAATGAATAATATGTTGCAAAAATCCTGTTAAAGAAAAGAATGAGAATATTAATTGAAAATAACATAATATGGTTTGATAGCAACAAGCTTATAAATTTTTATGTAAATAAATTTAATTAAATTTTAATTAATTTATAATTAATAAAAAGTGCTTGTTGTTGCAGCCTGATTACAAATTTTTAAACTAAAAATTACTTCTTTCTAGACCAGTTATAATAGAGATTCCACATTTTGCCTCACTAAGAGGAAGAGAAAGAGAAATAACTATTTTACGAAGTGACAATGGAGAGACTTGGAGAGAGCATACACTGGAAGCTACTGAAGATGCTGTTCATGATGTTCTTAATGAAAGTTTTGAAGGAGAAGGTAAAAACTTGTAATATATTTATTTCTGATCATTTAAGTAAAGATGTTAGTCCTTTATGAAATTGAAGTATAACTTTTCCTCCTCCTAACGATGTTATAGAATTTTATAATTTAATAGTTGACAATACAGAATCTAAATTAAAAACTGGTTATTTTTCATTATGCTGTTATTAGTTGTACCTAGCAAAAAATTTACTATTAAAAATTCTTGTTTATTTATAAAAAATAGGGAAATTAAAAAACAAAATAAATTTGTTTACATAAAATTTATTAATATAAGACAAAAATTCTCAATACACACATTTTTTGTGTAAATACCTTTACAGTTAGATATTCATTTCTGCATGCAAATTAAGTTAATGGCATTTAATCAAACATATTTTCATTTCTTTCTCACCTATTTATAAGGCTTATTCATCTAAGTACCAGTTTACTGAAAGAAATGACATCAGTCCTCTTGATTATAATTTAATTTACAGTTATCTTTTTATTAATACCGTAAAATTAAAAAGTAACTGGAAATCAATAAAAGATTGAGAGCTGGAGAAATTTTGAGAAGAATTTTTGTACTGGTCAGGGGTAAGTTTGACTAAAGAGAAAAATTCATATAAAAACTTGTTAAAGTTCTTTAATGCCTTTTTATGTGAATTTTTCTCTTAAGTCAATACAATTGTTGGTGTGACATCAACTGTATGTATTTAAGTTACTTAACAAGGGGTAACTTTAATATTAGGAATGACATGGAGGAATACCACTATGGCAAGAGTGAAATTGGGAATGTTTTTGTTTCTAATTCATTTAAATAAAATTAAACAATAAAATAGATGCAATAGGGCTAATCTACATCAAGTAAGCTATAAAGTGATGTATAAAATGTAAATTAACTTTATGTACAAGTACCTTAACAAACTGAAAATAGATTTTATCTTAGTCTATTAAGTTTAGTACATATAGATGTTTTTGCTGTAATTATCTGCATTATGACAACTCATAACATATTACTTTTACTATCCAATTACTTTGAATTTTGTGTTCTATTCAAATTTATGTGCTATCTTCAGAACCTGATGAAGGTCTTTCAATAAGATTGAAAATATTAGTTTGACATTAAAAAATTTATGTTTTCTATTGGATTAAGGTGTAGTTTGATGTTTTTATTATCTACATTATTTTAAACATATATGGAAATTGTCTTTATATGCATTATATTTTTCTATGCAAAATAATTTTATATGAGAGGGCATTTTTATTAATTTAATTCTGATGGTTTAGATGTATTTCACAGAGGAATAAATTTTTTATTAACAAAAAATTAATTATTCATCCAATTAAGATATTCTATAATTTTATTTTTATAATTACATATAAATATAATATAGTATATTGCTTTGAAAAATATTTAGTTTGAATAAAATAATATTTTTTTTAAATAATGGCAATAAAAATGACATATTATAAAAGTTAATATGATTTCATTTTTTAAACATGTTTGAATATATGTTGATCCATTATCTGAAGACTAGATTTTTTTTTAATATCAAGGTTTATGATAAACAAAGAGAATAGAAAATTTTAATATTTTTAAAATTTATGTACAGTGGATCTTTATCGTATGCAAGAATTGTATTCTAAGTAAGTTATGCATATTTTAAATTTTACTTAATATGAATAAAATTTTGCCATTTAAATTAATGGTAATTGCCATAGTAGTATTTTGCTTGCATAAAGGAAGAATGAATGAGTAGTATAAAAAAGACAAATTCTTGTGTTTAATGTAGTTTTAGTTTTTTTTACTCTTTCTACCCTGTGGGCACTAAGAGGGCCTCTTATAGCAGGCACATTATTGGTTCAGCCAGGCCCACAATGGGGCTACCGGGTGGCGAGGGACCGACATATCCAAACGGACCACCCACAAAAAATTTATGGGGATTCCTTAACCCATCTGGATTCGATCCTGGGTCCCCCAGAGCAGTAGGCTGCCACCTTGACCACTCGGCCATCCAGCTGTGTGTAGCTTTAGTTCAGTGGCTATATGTTTAAAAATTTTAGTTCATAAATTAGTGATGGGACAATACCAAAATTTCTCTCAATTCTGATTTCAATTATGATTATATTGAAAACTCCAAATTCCAATTATTTTGAATACTTTTTAAAATTCAGTTTAGTTTAAAAAAATTAATGATTTACATTATGAGCATGGTCCATTCATTAATTAATAAACACAGTTAAGAATGGAAAATGATTGGAAAATCCAAAATCAATCTTTCAAAAGAAACCCAAAAATTCTGTATGTGGATATGCATGCTTTTATTGTGTACTACAAAATAAATTGTTAATATTACAACACTACTCCCAAAAAAAAAAAATTCCAACTAATTTCTTTTTGGAAGAACTCTTCCATTATGTCATCTGGGTTTGCCATCTTTGGAAACTGGCTTTGCTGGCTGATGCAATGATGGGGGAAGGTAAATGAGAAGATACATTCCATTTTTTATGCTTCATTAAAGCATAAGAAAAAGTATGATGGAATTAAAGCATTTACAATGCATGCCAATTGCCTCATAAATGCTTTAATTCCATTGTATTTTACATTAAATGAGATTTGGCAAATGATGCAACAAGCTATACAAATATCATCATCACAACTTAACCAATTTTTGAATTCATTCACTTGAGCCAGATTTTTCTAAATGTACAATTGCATGAACTTTTCTTTGGGGTAAAGAATAATCAGATGAATATTTAGACTTACTTGTCTTGAATCTTCAACTGAAAAAAAATAATCAATTTTCTTATTAAACGTGGAAGCATCATTTTAAGAATCAGAATATTGAAATTTGCTTGATTCCTATTCTGATTACTGGTGAATGCTTGATTTTTCTAATTCTTGATTCCAATTTCAATTACTCATCCCATAATTATTGTAAATACAGTATAAATGTTTCTATGAATTACAAATAAAACTTTGGTAAGGAAAGTTTTCTGTTGACTTATTAGTGGAGGCAAAAATTTTCTTTGAAGTTGGTACACCAAGAAAACATTTGAAACATTTAACTATTCTTGAAGATATTTGTTGCCATTTATTTTCAAAAGGTCAATGTCTCTCAAATGATATGACATATGTAAATGTTATTATTAATGGCCAATGAAAATAACTATTGTGCATGTACTTTTGAATCATCAACATATTTTGAACAATGTGTTTTGATTTTTTTATTGAATTATTGTACAATGTTGTATTTTAAGTGATGTGATTTGAAAACCCATTGTAATTCAGTAAAAATACTGAATTTTCAAGAAATTAAAATAAACAACTTGGTCTCCCAAATTATATGCAGCATGGTGTGGTGGTCAATCCACAAAAATTTATGAGTAATATTTCAGTTTTGAGAATGATAATTAATTAATAAGCTGTAGATGTGATCAGAGTTGAATAGAACTTTCAACATAAACAGAAAATTTAGAAAAATTATTGAACTAGTGTGTCGCCATTCACTATAAATTTCTTGTATTATTAACTGAGAATGAAGGTTGCCAGCTAGATATTATTGTAAAATATTGTTAATTTTGCAATATTAATAGTTTAATGATAAGGAAATGATTCAAAATATTTTCTTCAAACAAATTAATAGTAGTCAAGTAAAGTAAACACACTTCAACAACCTTAAAACACAGCAAAAATTTTTAATAACTATAAAGTTTTTGACTGTTTTTAACGATCTTCATCAAGTAGAATATATAATGGAATGACAACATTTTAGAACACAAATTTTTAAAACATAGCAATAGGACTGTTAACCAATCATAAAAAAGAACATACAACTGCAAACTAATTTTAAAATAAATCAAAAATAATAAGACAAATAATAACATTACAAATAGAGTAAAATCAGTACTAAACATGAATATTGATATATATGACTGCAATATATACAAATAAAGAAAGTAAATAAATAAAGTAAAAATTAAATGGTCCATTGTACAATTATCACAGGGTTACAAGTCACTTGCTTTTTTGAATACCCAATAAGCAAACAAAGTTTAAAAACTTGCAATGCAACTTGAATTCTAGGATTGAATGCTACCACAGTATTGAAATTAGCAAATTTTATTGAATGTGTGCTGGATCACAATGACGGATCATAACACGCTTGTCATGCTTTAGAAATGGATTTTTTATGCTTCTAATTGATAGTTACCTTTCAGTGTAGCTTTAAAAATTTTCAGAGCTCTAATATCTCTAATGCAATTGGTCCTTGCTGTCATTCTAGGAAGAGAGGCATGTTACAGCAATGGAACCACATCTTCATCTGAGGTGTAAATAGAGGGCAGTGGTGCATTCCTATTTTAAGTTTTTAAAATTGATTGTTCTTTTGTGCATTAGCATTCCATTTTAGAATTTATTGGTTCCTGGAGAAGGTTTCCGATTTAGACTGAAAACATTTGAGCTGTGTTTTTTACCTTGCTGGACTGACATAAGGTTACTGAATAGTATTTTTGAAAAAATTATAGAATAATGTCTTTATACATGAGGCATAGTACATTGTCCATGAATGTCAGATAGTGAAGTTTAATTTTTATGTCTGCAGTATAAATTTTATTAACAAAATTTTTGTGTTTTGTTCATAACTTACTTAAAGTTGTTTTATTCATTTAAATTTTTATAATAATCTAGAGCTGGAAAGTTTATTGATACCAAAATGTTTAACATGGTAAACTATTGACTTCTATAACAAGATTAATTATTGTTTAATTTAAAATAATTGACAGTGTTTGTAAAAATAAAGTAAAAGTTTAATTTTGAGTACAATTTAGATAACTACAGTAAAATTTTATCTTTATTTTATATTTATATATATATATACTGTAGTTTATTCTAATAAATAGCACAGCTGCTAGGTGAAAATGGTTAAGATAATGCATTCTAATTGTAAGCACTACCCTAAACCAAAATTTTGATATAGAGATTGGTCTTGCTTTGATATTTCTTTGATATATTAATACTTTGGTATATAGATATTGAATACAGAAAATCAATCATCAGTTTCAGTACAGTGGTACCTCAGGTTACGAACGCCCCAGCATACGAAATTTTCAGGATACGACATGAAATTCGAACATATTTTTGCTCCACGATACGAACAAAAACTCACGATACGACGTTACATTAGTTCGCATTTTTCATTTGTTTTTCTTACTACAGTTATTTTTTTTAATGTATTACTTGGCTTTAATTTGAGTATGTTTTTCACGTTGGAACGAATTATTTGGTTTTACATGTAATCGTATGGGAAAAGATAATCCACCTTACGACATTTTCATGATACGATCTCAGTTTCGGAACGGATTAATTTCGTATCCTGAGGTACCACTGTATACTAAAATACTAAAATTAATATACTAGATATTGATATTATAGATAAATACAAAATGGCAATATTAGTATTTTAAACATATTTAATTTTGGTTTGATATATGGTTTGTTGACTCAGAAATATTAAGCAGACTGTCTGTGTAGGAGGAAGATAAGGTTTATTTTAAACTGAAAAATTGCACAGTCTATTTAGTGTTGCTATGTTAATCATATATTGAAATAAAGTATGAATGCATTCAGTATTGTGTTATTGCTTGAATAATAATAAGATGAAAAAAGTTTATGGATTTATTCCATTAATCCTCCTGGAATAATAATTGCACCCAAAGAATAGAAACAATAGTCTCCCTCTAATAGTAAGCACTGTCTAATAAACAGTGTAGCTGTAAACTGAAAAATATTATAGATAGTGTGCTATTTATTAGAATAAGTATATCTTGTTATTATTGATATTTAATATATATTAAATCATTTTTAAATATTGTATTGGAAAAAGTTTTTTTACTTATTTATTTATAATAATTAATTATTTTAGAACTGAGTGCATTAGAAGATTTAAACACTAATCGCATTACCCGAATATTAACAACGGACTTTCCGCAATATTTTGCTATCATCACACGTATCCGTCAAGAAGTACATGCAATTGGTCCAGAAGGTGGCATGGTGAGCTCGACGGTTGTACCTCAGGTACAAGCAATATTCCCAGAAGGTGCTTTGACTAAGAAGATCAAAGTTGGACTCCAGGTAATAAAACCTCTTAGCCTCCCTTCACCTGCAGCTTCTTGTGATGATCCATGCAAACTTGGCAAAATTCAAACTTATCCCTCCACTGAGACAAAATTAGTTAAGAAATCACATAATTTAAAAACAGAAGAGAAACGTAATTCAAGAATTTCCTTTTCTTCATCAGAGGAAAATGCATCTGTTTCTCAAAACAAGCAACAAAAACCAAAACTTGGATTCTTCTCTGAATTAGTCCGTCGCACTTGGCCTAAGTTGGATGTATTTTCTTACATGTGAATTATATTTATTGAAAACTGTTTTTATTTTATTATTATTATTATTATTATTTCAATAAATTATTTTTAAATTAAATTATATTTTGAATGAGGCAGATTAGTAAGGGTGCTCAACTGTTTTTGAAATTGAGACATTGTTTGTTGGTTTAGTAAAGAAATTTTATTATTTTTGCTTTAAAATTACTTTCGTAGTTAAAATCTTTTAAATGATATCATATGATTATGATATACTAATATTATGTCAGTATTCAATATATCATAATGATATGTATTCAATTATAATAAACTTTTAATCATTTTAAATAGGCAGTATTAAAATATTAATCTACAAAATTTTTATAGTTTATTTGACATTAGCATTTATGTGTATTTAACATTTAGCATATATTATGTATGTAAGACTGCTTTATGTATTACTTTCAAAATTTTTTAAAACTTCCAAATTTGATTAATTTTTAAAACATAACTATTTATATACTATACTCAAATTTTGTAGTGCTAAATAATTAATTATTTTGAATTATTTATAACAATATCTTACACAAAAAAAAGTTGTTTATTTTTTGAATTATTGATAGTTTGAATTTTGTTAGAATTTATTAATAGTTTGAAATAATACTGATATACATATAAATATCAAAGCCTAATGTATAAATAATTTTTGAAAGGAATGATAAAGTATGATTATTTCTAAAAACAAACAAAATGCTATGAAAATTGTATAGAGTTTTGTTTTTCTTACTAATTTAACTTTTGTTAATTTAAAAGAAAATATTAACTTTTTGAGTATTTATTTATTTATTCATTCTCTGATTTAAATTATTTATTATTGTGTCTTTTATATTACACCATATTGAGTTTATGAATGGTTTTCATCAAAATAATAATAATAATTAATATATTATTTCTTCATGATAAAAAGTTTTTTATCATGAAGAAATGAGTTGCATATTAATAATTGTCAGTTTAATTAATTAAACTGAAAATTACTAATCTATTTATGTTAAATTTAAGGTTTTATTAAATATAAAATCAGAATAGATAATGCTTATGTGCATCTTTATCTTTGTTGCTTTTATATTTAAACACAAATTTTTTGTTTCCTTCCTAAGTTACAAAGACTGGTGGGCAGCAAATTCATTAACCATTAGTCAGACACCAGACTTTTAACAGCAAAATAAGATCTCCATTGTTCAATAGTGTCCATAAACTCAATTTTTGGCCTTCTTTTTCTAGTATTTTCCTCCATACATCCTTCTAGTATTGTATTAATCCAATCAGAATGTCAAATCATACAGACAATCATATTGATTCTTCTCTTATTAATACAGGCACTTCTTAATTAACAACAAAATTCCATTCGTATGACTAAATTGTTAAGTCAATTGGTCAATAAATGAGAAGCTAATTGTTTTATTTATTTTTGATAAAGAAATGGTCTAAAAGAAACTCCCACTTGGTAATTCTGTTTTAATTTGCATCTCTTGCATATTACAGAATATAAAAATATAATCAGCAAAAATTATTAAAATGTTGTACCAAAAAAATTAAAGTTAGTTCATTTAAAAAACACCATTTAGATCAATATTTTAGTCATTGAATCCTTGAAAAGATGGTAATGATTTCAGGTTATATGTAATCATCAGAATTATCAGCAGGGTTATCAGGAGCTGAAGAGGGCTCAGATAAGGGAGATGACTGTGAACAAATGGAAGTACTTGTATTTATAGAGGTAGGAGTTCTGGATGTAGCTTTTGAGGAAGAAGAAGAAGAGAATGATGTAGCTTTCCTCCTCCTCCTCCTCTTCTTCTTCTTAGTGCTGCTACATTCCAACTCTGTTGCTCTTCCTTCAATTCTTGGTGCTTCGTCCAGGCAAAGTCATGTTCTTTTTTGCTGACATCTTGTGCTATGGGGTGCACAATAAGGTACAAATTTATAAACAAAATATATGGACTTGGAGATTGCAAATGTTTTGTGTAGTAAATACTGACTGACTGCAGTAACAAAAGACTACAAAAGGTGATTCCGAAGACTCAGTCTGCAAAAGGGATTTACTATACAGGAGAGTTAGTTGTAAGCCCACGCAATTGTTAAACAAGTAGGTCATTAAATGAGGAGTGACTGTATGTTTTTGGATATATATTTGTCACCAATTAATTTGAGAACATCCTCATTTTTTATGTATTGTCTGCCCACGCTTGACATTCTGCTGAAGTATGCTTTGTGATTCAATTTTACACTGAATGTTGAAATAAGTAGACTAGGGTTTTTATTGCCACTTTAATAAAAATATCAGAAGTTGAGATTTTGGTCTATGCAGTGCAATCCCTGAATGTGTGCTTTAAAGATCAATACAAAGCAAGCTTATTTAACAAAGAAAATTCTTTAAATGAATGAGATGGCTCTCTTTATGCAGATCATTTTTCAAAATAAAATAATAACACTCTAGCATCTAGAATAAGAGTAGGAGTGTATTAATTTGATATGAAAAATTTGGAAAAGTAGGACTTTTCTTGTACCTAAGCAGTACAACAATAATTAATTATTATTGTACTGAAATTTGTTCTTTCTGTAAATGTAGCAGATGGAGTTGGAAAACATTTGTTTTTGTTTGTTTTGTTTATGTGCACACCATAATCAACTCTGAGTACGTGATTGTCCTCTCTTTACATAAGAGAAAAACAAAGCATAATTGTTCTGTATAGATAACATATTATTAAAATTTGTATGTTGTAATTTGATATTATCTATAGATAGTAACTATGCTTGCTTTTATTCATTAATCAATAGAAACATTTTAGTACAGCAACAATTAATACTTTTGTTTAAAGGCAGATGCACATAGGCAGCAAAGTTAAAGCATTGAGCATTAATAACAGGTTCAACCAATCACCCATTTTAATTGAAAGGTCAAGGTAATTGATGATAGTAGTCACTGATGTTCTACTTTAATTCACTTTAAGATATTTTTCCTAAATTTATGAAGTTAACAGAATGTCTACTTGTTATTTAAGATGGTAAAAATAAAATTTGCTAATATTTTTCTTAATGTGTATCATTTTCCAAAATAAGTTTTGTTTACATCTTTGGAGTTAGCATAAAAAAATTTAGAAAGTGTAATCCTGTATTGTAAAAATTTAGAAAGTGTAATCCTGTAAGAGTGTAGTTTTAATGAATTTTCCCTTACATTATCAAATTTTACACAAATTTGGAATATTTAAAAATTAAGAATATTAATTGTATTTTGAACAGATATTAAAGTTTAAATATAAGACAAATTATTTGAAAATTTGAAATTAGAATATGTGTAAAATAATTTTAATATTCAAATTTTTGATTGTTCCAATTATTTTGTAAATGACAAAGATGCCTTAATTGTAAATGAAGTGAAAGTATTATGTTAAGTGAATTTGTTTTATATCATTAATGTGTGCATTTTAGAGATTAGTTTTTTAAAATGTAATTTAATTTGTCAAGTTAAAAAATCCAGTAATGAGTTGAATAACTTTCCTAGCAAAAAATATTTATGTTTAAGAAGTATATCAGCAAAGTTTAAAATTGTGTGTGGTCTCATCTGTTATCAGATTTTATTTTTAAAAGTTTTATTTAAAAAAAAAAATAGTAAATGCTAATAACAAGTAAAATTTATTAAGTCTAATCCCACTCAAGATGTGATATATATCTTCTTACACTTTATTTTGGTTCAGTGGTCTCAAAATATCGAGATTTTCAAAAAACCCAGAGGGCCAAATTTAATATAATTCCAGTACTTTCCCATGTTATATACATAACAAGCCAGGAAAGTAAAAGCTTATTTGTGAGTTAATGATGATCAGCAAGCTTTCTACATACTCCTCTAAAACCATTATTAAGTGACTATTTTATTTCATATAAGTTCAGTGTTAAAAATTGAGATTATATTTTTAGAGATACAATTTTAATTATACAATACCACAGAGAGATGGCCAACAAAAAAATATGGCATTTTGCATCACTTCAAACAGTCTACTTTATTGGAGAACCACAAACTTATAAAGTGTCTTCCTTATATTCTATCCCAAGTATATTTTAAGCTCACAAAACCTGTAATCAGAGGAACATCATAGTTGAAATTATTTATTATTTAGTGTATGGCTACACATCTAATTGACAAAAAGAACAGAAAGCAGAAAAAGAAAGAACACAAATCATAAATGTAAGTCTAAGTTAGAAATATAGTTTAAAGTACTTTCAGTCACAATCAGGAAGTCACTCAGTTGTCCCAGAAAAGATCTTACTGGACAATCTTCCAAGATATGATGTATAGTCTGTCTTTCAGCATCACAGTAACACTGTGGGGATGCAACTTTTCCCCACAGTGTGACTGCACAACCCATGTTTGGTTCGAATCCTATTTAATACACTCCACAGATTTCTGGATAATTCAAATCCAGGTGGTCGCTTTGTGATACAAGAAAGTTGTTGACTGTCCACATAGTTGAAATACAAAACATCTATAAACAGATAGAATGTAAGGAATATGTTTTATAAGTTTGTGATTTTGTAATACTAAAAGTAGGTTGTTCGAACTGATGTTTCTAATTAGAATGAATACATAAAGCATTTTGAACAGTCATAAATAGAAAATTTACCATTATATTATATTTGTAATTATTATTAATAAATTAGAAATAAATAAAAATAATATCAGAGTTTTTTTCTATCTTTTATTATTATGTTTGAAAGGAAGAAAAGAAAAGTTTGCAGTCATAAAAATAGTGAATCCACTGTATTTGACATGTAATGATGTATACAATCTAAAATATATTTTTGAAATATAAAGTATAGAAAAACAAATAAATTAATTATTGATTTCAAATTACTTGGATACGTATTTATAGAAAAAGAAAGTTTTTACCATTGCTAGGCTGTGGTTCCTCAGTAAGAATTGAATCTTTTAAACAGAAAAATGTAGATTTTACATTACAACATTACAGCATGATTTTTGAATGCAAAATAAGTTATTTATTATGAAAAATATGTAATTTTCTTATAGAATAAGAGCATTGATAACAGAAAAAAGTTTTTAATATTTAGATAACATTAATGAAGGTGTTACGAAGTTCCTAATTGAACACAAAATACAGTTTAAAATTATTGATATGTTAAAGATTAACAAAACAATATGCCAAGAATTGTAATAGAAATAGCATAAAAAGTTTCTGTTGTCATTAGAAAAAATGTGTAATATGAAACAAGATTCACATGCACTTTTAACATTGTATTAATCTAATCCATTTTGATGTCTGTTCAAAACATTTGAAAACATTTTTGTACATTAAACCTGTATTTCAAATATACTGTTTCTTTTCTGAATTTTTTTGAATATGTTAATGAAGCTTTTCAAACTTTGTATGTTTTCTAAGTGTGTTCTGTCTTGTCTGAAGACAACCTTAATGCAATGTTGAAACTGCTTGTGAATTTTGTTTGATATTAAATATTTTTTCTAATGCTGATGGACAGTATTTTTTGCCTTTTTTATTTTGATTGCTAGGATGATAGAAAAACTGTTTATTTCATTAATCTCAATATTTTTTCATAATGCTATCCTACATATAAAATGTGAGTATTAATTACCACTTAAATATGAGACAACTAGACAAGTAATTAAGAAATTTAAGAAAAATTGATATTCCAAATGAAAATTTTCTTGGTATTTTTCTAAATTTCAGCTTTATTTTAAAAAGTTTAACTTTTTGATTTTTCAATAAGAAACTTTGAGGATTTTACTCAATATATCTACATAAATTTATTTTAATTTATATAAATTTATCCTAAAACTATTAATAAACATATTTTACTTTGTATAATAATTGAAAGTTATCATAATTTTTTATTTATTTATTGCAATTATTTTTGTAACTCTTATGTCTTTGACTTTTACTTTTTATCTAATTTTCACTGTATTTTGATTAGTACAGGTGCTCCTCTACTTCTGAACAGGTTAGGTTCCTAAGGTTTTGTCATACGTCAGAATGTTCATAAGTTGGAAACTAACCTACAAAGTACATTTGTACACAGAATAACCATGTATTGTCAGTGTATGATTTTTCAATGTATTTAATAGAATACATTATGTTCATTTACCTGCTACTGCTTAGTATGAGATGTTTAAAATGCAGTTTCTTTTCTTCTAATACACTTGATTTTATAATGTCAAGTTTAGTTTCCATGGTAATAGAGCCACACTTCTTGCATTTATCTCCACTAGATGCTAGATTTAATGTTTGTTTTGGATGCATTTTTTAAAGTATTAATTGTAAAAGCTTATAAAAGTTGCAAACAGTAGCAAAAAATGTCATTTCTTCAGTGTTATCAACTTCAATGTTACTTCACAAACAGCAATGGAACATCAAAATTTGTATGAAAATGAAAAATGAGTCTGAACATTTATAAGTTGAACAGTAGGGGAGCTCCTGTATTTATTTATATTTTGTTCTTTATTGTTTCATTCATTTTATAGAAAATTAAACAATACCTAATTTTTAATTTGAAAAATATTAAATTGTAGATTATTTATACATTGAAAAAATGAAATTATCTTAATTTCTCTATTTTATAAATAAAATTAAATTTTGCATTAAAAGTTTTAATTTTGTGTAATTTTATTTGAGTAATTGAAAAAACAGTTTAGATTTTCATAAAAATTGATAAGAAATTGTTGAGCACCTCTACTAAAATTGATTGCCAATCTGGATATGGATAAGAATGAGAATTGTATTATTGTGCTATGATATTAAACTTAATGAATGCTTAAAATTGTTAGATTTTATTTTTTTGAATTTTTTACTTGAATTTAATGCTAATATCAAGTTAATGTTCTAGTTAAAAACTAAATATTTTTTTAATTTAAAAATTTTCAGCAATATAATATAGAATAATTGAGTCTTGAATTAACAAATTTAATTTTTTACTTATTAATTCTTAGTTGTAATTAAATCATTAAAATCTATTAAAACTGACATTTTATTGTAATATGCAATGCAAATAAATTAAATATAAAGAAAACAAAATTAGAGTCTAACAAACAAATTTTACACATATCCAAAATATTGAAGAGAGATGTTATTTATTAAATAAAAAGAATGGAATTAAAAGTATAATTTTTCATAGTAGTTAATTAATGTATTTGCATGAACTGCTATTTTATATATATTTAATTTATTTATGGGCATGTAGTGATATAATTAGAATATTTATTTTTTACCTGCTAAAATTTGCATGATGTCTGTATTGTTTTTATGTATTTAATGTACTAGATTTGATTTAAAGCATAATTTTCACTAAAAGTTTGTTTCCTATTTAAAAAAGCAGTTCTGCTATTGTAAATATTTTATAATCATAAAACTTGTGATTATAAGAATTTAGAATAGTAATATAAGTAAAAATACATTTTTATAACAGAATACTATTTAACCATATGTGCCATGCTATAAAAAATTCTTATATATAATAATAAAATTGTGTTTATTCAGTGTTAATTCTAGTCATTTTTAAAGTCAGAGTGTACTAATTATTTTCAATTTGTATGTTTGTTCTGCTTGTTAAGTTATGAAAATGAAACACATATTTCAAATAACCAAAGAATTTTTTAATTAACAAAATTTTAAAATGCCAAAATTTTGCTCAATGATGTAAAATATCAATATGAAATTTGACATATATATATATATAAGAATAAGCAATTGACAGTTTTCTGAAAAGTTTGAAAAAACTTTCTTGAAGAATGTTAAAAAATAAACAATTAAGTATCTTAGTCCATATTATATTTATAATATGTAATATGGAATGAATATCTTAATATTTAACAGTGTATTTATAATGTTTTATATTAAATATGAAAATAAAAATTTATACATAATTTTATATTTTTATGGTTATACAGTAAT